ATGAGCAGGTGCATATTACAGAAAGGAAATGACGGTAATGTAGAGAAAATTCAACAGTGAACAGTAGAGAAATTCAACAGTTGAACCCAGAGTAAAAAGAGATGACCATGAATCCACAGAAATATGACAGTGTACCCTAGGGAAAGACAACACTGAACCAGAGAAAGATTGGACGGGTGCATTTTAGGAGAAAGACGGTACGGTGAACCACAGAGGAAAATTTGGGACAGTGAACCAGAGCAAAGGCACCATGACCCAGAGGAAAAATACACAGTGGAACCCCAGAAAAGGACAACAGAGAACCCAGGAAAAATGACAGTGACCCAGAGAAGACCGACGGTGACCCAGAGAAAAGATGAACGGTGAAACAAGGGAAAAAAACAGGCAGTGAAGCCCAGAGAAATATGACAGTGAAACCCCAAGAGAAAAGGAACTACCAGTGACCAGAGGAAAGAAGGCCGGTTGGAACCTGGAGAAAAGACAATGGTGGCACCAGGAGAAAACCAACACGTGACACCCCAGAGAAAACCAGACAGACCAGATGAAAAAACAACAGTGAAACCCAGAGGAAAACAACGTTGAACCAGCAGAAAGACAAACACGCGTGGTTTCACTGTCATCTTTTCTCTGAGTGCACTATCGTCTTTTCTCTGGGTTCACTATCGTGTTTTTTCTGGGTTCACTGTGGCCTTTTCTCTGTATTCACTGTAGTCATTTCTCTGGGTTCACTGTCCGTTGTCTGATTTCACTATAGTCTTTTCTCTTGGTTCACCGTCGTCTTTTCTCTGGGTTCGGTGTGGCCTTTTTTCTGGGTTCAGTGTGGCCTTTTCTCTGTATTCACTGTTATCTTTTGTCTGGGTTCATTGTTGTATTTTCTGTGGGTTCACTGTAGTATTTTCTCTGAATTCACATCTTTTCTCTGGTTGCACTCTTGTTTTTTCTTGGGGTTCACCTTTGTCTTTTCTCTGGGTTCACTGTTGTATTTTCTCTGGATTCACCATCATCTTTTCTGTGGGTGCACTGCTGTTTTTTTCAGGGTTCACCTTCGTCTTTTTTCTGGGTTCACTTGTCTTTTCTCTGGGTTCACTGTTGTCTTTTCTCTAGGTTCACTGTCATCATTCCTCTGGGTTCACTGTCATCATTCCTCTGGGTTCACTGTCATCATTCCTCTGCGTTCACTGTCATCATTCCTCTGCGTTCACTGTCATCTTTTATCTAGGTTCACTCTTGTTTTTTCTTTGGGTTCACTGTTATATTTTCTCTGGATTCACTGTCATCTTTCCTCTGGGCTCACTGTCATGTTTTCTCTGGGTGCACCATCGTTTTTTCTCTGGGTAAATGTCGTCTTTTCTCTGGGTTCACTGTTGTCTTTTCTTTGGGTGCACTGTCATCTTTTTTCTGGATTCACTGTTGTCTTTTCTCTGGGTTCACTGTTGTATTTTCTCTGGGTGCACCGTCATCTTTTCTCTGGGTTCACTGTTGTATTTTCTCTGGGTGCACCGTCATCTTTCTGGATTCACTGTTGTCTTTTCTCTGGGTTCACTGTTGTATTTTCTCTGGGTGCACCGTCATCTTTTCTCTGGGTTCACTGTTGTATTTTCTCTGAGTTCACTGTCATCTTTTCTCTGGATTCACTGTTGTATTTTCTCTGGGTGCACTGTCATCTTTTCTCTGGGAGCACCGTCGTCTTTTATCTGTGTTCACTGTATTTTCTCTGGGTCTTTTATCTGTGTTCACTGTATTTTCTCTGGGTCCACTGTCATCTTTTCTCTGGGTTCACTGCTGTATTTTCTCTTGGATCACCGTCGTGTTTTCTCTGGGTTCACCATCATCTTTTCTCTGGGTTTACTGTCATGTTTTCTCTGGGTGCACTGTTGTATTTTTTCTGGATTCACTGGTGTATTTTCACTGGGTTCACT